AAGGAACCATATTTCTTTTTCACAAATAACATAGATGCTTCCCACGGTGATGTACTGGGTTTGATAAAGCCTTTTTCAAGAAAATCCCTCAGTTGTTTTTCAACTCTCTCAGCTCTGTAGATGCCATTCTATATGGAGGAATAGTTATCGGTTGAGTATCTGGTAATATGTCAATAGCAAACTCAATCTCCCGCTCTTGCAGAAGGCCTGAAAGCTCATCGAAAAAAATATAGGGAAACTCATTAACCACCGGGATAGACTGTAGGGTCGGTGAATCTGCTTTCACATCATGTACCCGAACTAAGTGATAAATATAGACCTTTCTGATCATCTTCCTTGCCTTGAGATAGGAAATAAACCTACTTCTCGACGATGCAGTATTACCTTTCCACTCTAGAACTGGCTCCCCTGGAAATTGAAAGTGAACCATCTTTGATCTACAATCAACGTTAGCGTAACAAGAAGCCAACCAATCCATACCCATTATAACATCAAATTCTACCATATCTAACTCAATCAGGTCTGCTACTGTAGAACGACTATGAACTACTATTATACAATCTTTATATAGCCGTCTAGCTATCACTGGATCCCCAACAGGTGTAGACGCCTCGAAAGGTTCAATCAACTCAGGTTCTATCCCAAACTTACAAGCAACTAACGGAGTGACGTACGATAAGGTGGAACCTGGATCATCAATGCATATACATCATATGAGGAGACTGATAATATACTTGTAACAACATCAGGTGAAGACTCCTGATCCCGTCGACCCGCTAATGCATAAATGTGGTTCTGAGGATCGCTCGAGCTAGATGCTCCACTTCTCCCTCTACCACGACCGACTGGTCCCTGTGAACCTTGCTTAGGGGGCTTACTGATGATGACGAACCAACTACAGATCTCGCTGGCTGAGCTATACCTGCACCACCTCTCGTCGGACAATCTCTCATAACATGGCCTGGATAACCACAAGTATAACAAACACCCAACCCTGCAAGGCACTACCGGTATGCTGCTTACCACACTAAGCACATCGTGGCAAGGGCGACCTCATCTTACTTGACTCACCCCTATATTGAGAACTAGAGACCCTGGAACTCTGACTAGGCCTTGAATATATGGAACGATCAAATCTCCTACCGACAAACTGAGAGGGTGCACTAGCCGATGGCTAGGCTGGATACCTCGTGTACTGCTGTCTCTGACCACCTCGAAACTCATTAGAATGACCTGAAGAACTCGCTCTCTTACTCTGGCCCCTATTATGCTCACGATCGGCCCTCTACTTCTGCTTACACTCCTCTACACCCTGAGTGTATGCCTGAATGTGAGAAATATCAATGCCTGGTTGAAGTGAGATCGACACACAGTAATTAAGCAGGTGTGACGCCAAACCCATCACGAAGCAGTGAACCCGATCCTCCATCTTAGCTACAATAATGAGAGCATACCTAACCAAAGAATCTAATTGAAGGTTGTACTCTCGAACACTGATATTACCCTGCCGAAGGGTCAAGAACCTATCAACTCTAGCCCGTCTAAGCTCTGGTGGAAAATAATAACGAAGAAAAGCCTCTGTAAACTCCTGCCATACTGCTTGAAGGGCATCCTCACCTCTGGACAACTCGCAAGACTGGTACCAATTAACTTCAACATCCCGAAGTCTATAGGAAGCTAGCTCAACTGACTCAGCCGAAGTGGTCTTCATTACCATCAAAGTTCTCTGCATCCTATCAATAAATACCCGAGGGTCCTCGTTTGGATCTGCTCCAGTGAATACGGGAGGGTCTAAATTAATGAAATCATGAACCCTCGCACTGATGGCCCTATCTGCATGACCAATGCCTACCTCCTGGCGCCGAGCCTGTGCGGCCACTAATCAAGTCAATAGCTGAATAGCATCTCTCATCTCCCGACCCGGTGCATCAGGCTGAGGATTGGGGGTACTGGGGCGGGCACTGGAGTTAGTGCCCCCCGGATCTCCTCTGGAGAGGGCAGGGTATGTTGAAGTCTGAGATAGAGTCTCACTATGCGACTATCCCCGAGCCCTGGTAACTCGTGGCGCTCAACTTGTAGTCTTATCATCCACGGACTTGCCCTTCTCGGCAACTATAACCTTCTTGGGCATCGCTGTAAACATAACATATCGTTAGGGAAATGAATCCTTATATCGCACGATCTAAGATAAGAAGGGAGGATAACATCCTATATGTCCTGCAGCCTCCTGTTTATAAGTGTGGTGCACAACACACTCATAAACAAGACTCTATTGGACACGGTTTGAAGACAACCCTAGGACGCAACTGCTCTGATTCCACTTTTGTCATGACCCAAACTGATGGGCCATGATGAGTGCCGAAGTTCTACCTACCAAACACCCTGAAGCATACGTCTAATATATAAACATGAAATAAGTGTAGGTCATGCATAATGTCCGGCAACAAACTACTGATTCATGTAAATAAAATACGTGGGAAAACATGCCCAAAAGACATATGCACATATATATACGGAATACGATTGGGCGAGCCGATAAGGCCACGTAATATCCAACTATACATGACTATCTACAAACCTCTAATAGAGTGTACAACTGTATAAAGGACGGGACTGGGCTCCGTCATATCCATACATGTATACAAAAGTATAGTACCAAAACCTAATAGCAGCTCCGGATCAAAGAGTACACCAATTATCCCTGAACAAGGATCCTAAGAAGGGGCACCGTCAGCTTGTCTACCTACACTTGCGGACATAAAACACAGGCCCCCAGGCAATAAGAGCGTCAATATGAATAATGTAACGAGTATGTAAGGCATAAAAATCAGTATACAAAAAGACATGAAAGAAACTTGGAGAAAAGGACTCAACCTGTAAGTCTGAATAGCTCTGTGAATCATGAAACATTTATAATATCATGCATACACGTATAAATGTCATATCATGCATAGGTACATGCGTACATAACATCATCAAGCCTCTGAAGGCAACCCATCATATCATCTCGGCCTCAGTGGGTGAAATCATTAATGTATGCTAGCTGATCAGGTGGTGGTGCGTATATAACGCCATAACCTTTCCTCATACCCCATATACATATAACTATACGTGTATATAATGCTATCTGGTCATGGGTTAATATACATGTTTAAATAAATGCAATGCATAATGAAGTAAGTCAATAAGATTTCTCGGAATATCATGAGACCCATGAACAGACGATATGATAGTAGGACATATGGGGAATCAAGAACATAGGCAACCCTAGTACTTCTAAGAATAGAATCATTTGTGAAAGTTGCGTGGTTGCTCGTTTCGTTGTATCATATGGATCATACCAAAATGAAAGAAGGGATAGCCTTAACATACCTTATCACAGTCTGTCCAATAACCACGTTGAACTCGTCTCGTCGCACCTTAATCTAGAACAACGATAATAATACAATCATTAAGTTACGAAAGGTACAACTATCTCACAACGAACGAAAAACTTATTTTATATTAAAATGGGCTGCATCTCCCCTATAATCTTTACTTCCTCCCAATCCGAGATAACACAAACAACATGAGAACACGGCAATAACAACATATATACAATATTTTCCAACTTATATCCATCACAAAATATAACAAAACAGCCCAACACACCCCAATCACTTCACACACAAAACGACAACTATAGTTGTGTCAAACAACCCAAAAATGTTACAAAGAACGACTAACCCACCATTTCGCCATTATGTGGTGTTTCTCTACACCCTTTATCCTCCCAAATTTCATTAAACGGTAGCAAAATAGACAGCCCAAAAATAACACGAAACAGCCCACAAAACAGTCCACTACAAGTTGAATAACTCGAATTCACGGCTTTCGATCACCGTCCCGTGAGTTCTAACTATTAGGAAACGAATTTATCAACCTTCCTTGTATTTAAAAGCTTAAATACAAAAAGTGGGCGTTTTCTTAACTATGAAGTACCTTCCAAAACTCAAACAACAAAGAAAAAAAGAGGTGTTACAGCGATACTTACATCGTAGGGATCGTTCTAATGTTATCGCCTTTTGATTTCATATTCGGGATATTAATCTTCTTTGAAACCCTTGTAGAGAGCTTAAGGGTAAGTTTATGGTCTTATTTTGATCGTGGTCTATGAAAAACCGAAGAAAGAGATGACATTGGGGATATAAATATCCACTTTTGAAAAGTCAAAAAGGTGCTAGCTTGGCACCCTAGCATTGGCCCTTCTTCCAACACTTATATCTTTTTATTCGGATGTGGTATGAACAAACGATTAAAAGCGTTGAAAACTACATTCCAAGACCTTCAATTTGGTATATAATATGTCCCAAAAATACCTCTAACACACGAAATGAATTGGATATCTAAATATCATATATAGTCATATTATGACTTTAAATTCATTTAAATCATGATTAACAAGTCTCATATTTATTATACGTCACCTTGGGACGCATAGGGTGTAACAATGATTAAAAAAAAAAGTGTGTCACATAAAATATTTATATTGCATTTCTAACTAATTAGCTTGAACACATAATTTTCAACAATTAACAATCTACATTTCCTGCAAATAATTAGTTTTAGTAGGTTTAAAGTAGTATGAAAATTCTTTACACTTTAGTGTATGATACTCAATGAAACTTTTCCATACCCGAGTTTTTATTATTCAAAAACAAGCCATTCATTGTGTTCCATCTTCTATCTCATGCAATCTTACTTGCAATTCTTTCAAAAAAAATAGATCCAGTGTAATTTTACTTTTGGAGTCTGAAATTGTAGTATGTACACGGCTTTACTCCTACCTTTTAAAAATAGATTGTCTGTTTATGATAAACCATCTGCATCACAACATTATCGGAAAAAAAATATAATAAAAGATAAACCAGAAAAAAAAATAGTAACACGAAGTAATACCAACAACAATAAGATAACAAGTAAAATAATTTTAGAACTGTATTTTAAAATTGTCAAATCCCTGTAATTACTATGGTCAATTGTTAAAGGAACAAACAAAGAGTTGAGATGAAAACAAAACTATACAACATCGGGCCGACCAACAACAAGGCCCAATCAACAATAAAATGGTTCACTAGCTTAAGTGGCCCAAACCCTCATGGGCCGCAACTAAATCAGGCTCAACTTTAAAGCTTCTTGAAAAGCATTTTGGGCCTCAATTTTCAATCCCTTCATTTCATAACACTGGCCCAACAAACAAAAGGCCTTAGCTTGATCCGAACAGCCCAATTTCACAGCCTCTAAAAGGTCCATTACAGCCGAGTCAACTCGTCTCTTCCGATTTAACGCCACCTGCAACTCGGCCCGTTTCAATAAAGCATCGCCTCTCTCTCCATCGGACAATGCCTTCACCGCCGGCGGCAATAGGGCCAAATCCAAATACCTCAAAGCAGCAATTTTATGGCCCATGAGATCGAGTGATAGGGCTTTAAGAATATGGGCCGCTGGATCTTTGGGCTCAAGAGCTAAAGCCTTATCAGCTTCGGCGGCGGCGGATTTTGCGAGGTTGAAGGAAGTTGATTTGTTCCGATTGGATTTTGCTCGGGAGAGGAGTTGTGCTCCTTTGATGAAATGGATATGGGCTTGGTTTGTGGATCGGTTTTTTGATCGGAGTCGGGTTAGAGCTTGTTTGGGGAAGTTGTACATGGCGTAGAAAATTCCGAGTGTGAAAAGGAGGATAATGAGTTGAATCACTATGTCTGTCTCCATTTTGCAGTCTCAGCCAAACAGGGATTAAGCTTCGAGCTCCACTAACACTTGTACTATGTGCTGACGCCTGACGGAGGACTGTGAATCCAATGGTAATTGTCCTTTTTTCGAGTTTACTTCGTTCTGGATCGTTATTTTTCTGAAGGCCCATGGCTATTGAAAGCCCAATAGTGAAGGGTTAACGGAAGGCCCATTATGGGCTATATGGGCGAAATGCATCAATAACCACAATTTACAATGTATTTAAAAATTAGCCAATTCACCCAAACTTTAGGACTAAGTATTCTCAATTTTTGAGCTGGTAATTTGAAATTTAGGACTAAGTGTCTGAACTACTAATTTAAAATTCAGGACCTAAGATTTGAACTCGTGGACACAATTTTCGAACTTTAGTACATGATGTCTTGAATTTTGGGTGAAATTGGCTAATCCTTAAATACATTCTGAATTGTAGATATATTTTAAACAACATGTTTAAAAGTGGCTATCTGATGTCATTTCCACAATTTTTGTGACTCGTCTTATACTTTAAGTGACTTCATTTTGCTGGGGAGCTAATCAGTTTTTCTTATTTTTGTTTTGTTTGAGTTTTTAAGTTTATGTTGCAAATTACTTTTTAATGTAAAAAATTATGATTTTGTAGTATTTTTCATATATTTCTTCAGTCACTACGTGATTATTATTTGAAGCTCAATTTTTGCTTCAAATTCAATTTTGAAGTCTAAGCTTTGGGAGAAGTATATGTGCAAGTTGATTTGAGTAAATATCAAAATGAATCATCCCCCCCCCCCCCCCCTTTATTTTTTTATTTTTATCTTATGCCTTTTCATTTGGTGTCTGTGTGCCTTTGGGAAACATCTTTTGCATACACTTAATAATTGCTAGTATGTATAAATTTCTCAGACAACTGCATAATTTACATTATAAGTTGGATCAGTGCAACCAAATCCAATAATAATACAAAACCAAAATGAAATAAGCTCTTTCAATCATTTTGATGAGTGAAAACTGACTTAATGCAGTATAATTACTTGCTTTTTGCTGCATCAGTTTACATCTAAATATGGAGACACATTAGAAGATAAACTTAGATGTTTGCGACGCTGCTTCTCAGTGTTAAGATGGACAGCATATCGAAAACTTTCAACCCAAAAAACAGCTAGTGGAATATGTGACTGGATTGACCTCTTGGTTTTACAAGATTTATGTACAAATTGAGAACAAGTACGAATAACTAACAGTAGCAGATGCAGAACAAGGATCAGTGAGACTTGATGATAAGATCAAAAGATTACTCCATAACGAGCTGCATATGACGATTGAGATCTTTGAGATAAGTTGTGTTACTGTAATCGTCTAAATCACAAGCATCCAGCATCAATGATCTTCCTCCCGTTGATTTCTGCTTCATGTCTATTGGTTCGTTCTCGCCTTTCAACAGCTGAACAGCCTGCATGGTCCAAGATTTTCAAGCATTCGGGTAAACCTCATCTTGTACTCATGGATGGTTGTTTTGCATGCATTCAGTAACATCATGTACCAAATCTTATTGTTTGCATAATGCTAAAGTTTCTAGATATGAAGTTGAAATCAATTCAAGTGAGTTTTCGTTTCACATCCTCGATAGTATTTCTAGTCATTTCAAGTCTGGACAATAGGATAAGTAATTCTAGTTGTCTAAGGATTTCCAAACTGGTTGTCTTAGGACAATAGGATAGGTTTTTTCAACTTGCAAACAGAGTGTAAAAGATAAAGACGTACCCGTTTCATATTAGGACGCATGTTTGGTAAGTGGTGAATGCATGTAGAAGCTGCAAACATAGCTCGTTTCATCTCAACAACATCATAGGCATCACCTAGTCGAGGATCTGCTAATTCCTTGATATTGTTCTTTTCCAGCATTGGTTTTGCCTACGCAAAATAGCAGCAGATATGAATATTTCTTCCAGAAAGACAAAAATTAGAGGCAAATCCAAGATTCAGAATCTCTGAGTTCAAAATGAGGTAATCTTCTTATATGTATACACTTTAAACATTTTTTGGCATATGTATTTATTTTTCGAGTCAAAAGCAATGAGTCTAGTTGAAACCCCCCTGCATCAAACAAGTTCGTCCAAAGAAAGTGTCGATTTAACAAGACCATACCCACATCACAAGACTCTGTCTGGATGAATCAACAGCACGACGGCCAGTAATAAGCTCCAACAGCAGAACTCCAAAGGCAAAAACATCGGTCTTCTCATGAACAATTCCATGCATAAAGTACTCTGGTGCCATATATCTGAGAACAAATTTATGTCATATTTTCATCAAATCAACAATTTGTAATGAATGAACTCATTTAAAATGTAATGGAGCTGAACTTTACATACCCAAAAGTTCCTTCAATTGGGGAAACAATATGATGAGCCCATTTTTCTGGCAACCACTTTGCAAGTCCAAAATCAGATATCTGCAACAACAAGAAATTTTACATTACAAGTGAGTGACATGAAATTATTCATTACAAGGTTTTTAAAGAAAAAACAAGATTGAAAACCTGAGGTTCGTAATCTTCAGTAAGTAGAATGTTAGAGGCTGTAATATCTCTATGAATTATGCGCCTTTGGCAATCAGAATGAAGATAACGCAATCCTTCAGCTACCCCAACTGCCACTTTATATCTTATTTTCCATTCAAGGCACTCTTCTCTACCTGAAATGCTGAGTTCTTCTTTTATCAGTCAAAACAACACCAAAATCCCAATTCACCTCATTACATTTGATATTTCATTAAATGATACATGTCCAAGTAATAAACCATTAGACTAGAGATCAAGATCAAACAAGCATAGTTTGTTACTCCCGTGAACTGTGTGACCACCTCATCAAAAACCTAAAAATATTTTGAAAGAATATACTTTTAATTGCCTAATTATGGTATGTTTCGACATGCTGTCCTTGATTCTTTTTCATGAGCCAAATATTATAAAATATATCTTATTTTTTGGTAGCGATGATTTGAACTGAGGACCTTTACCCTGCTCTGATACCATCTTTAATTGTTTGACCACCTCATTTAAAAGTTTAAGCTTTTACGAGTGATATCATCCAATCCAAAACTATAAGGTGGTTGAAGTGGCAAAATCTGATTAGGGACTCGTGTATTTTCTAACTATTCCGAGAGAATTATTCAGTAACCAAGTCAAGAGAAAGAAATACAGCACCGTGTAGTACAGAAGCAAGGCTGCCATGTTGCAAGTATTGAAGAACAAGATGCAGACCACCATCAACACTGAAACCAATTAACTTAACAGCATTAGGATTGTTGATATGAGCAATGATTCCTAACTCGGATAAGAAGTCTCCAACTCTGTCCTCATCATTCTTTTCTTTCTTTGTTATTTTCTTGACTGCTACAACTTGACCATCAGGTAAATGTCCTTTGTACACTTCTGCATGTCCTCCTTTGCCAATCAAGTTATCTGTCATGTTTCCAAGGTATAAAATCAGTAGAATATTTAGCATAAACTACGTGCAAAGTTAGTTGATGTTAGCACTTCTATTTTCAAGTAAGCGTGCACATTATGCAATCTAATTATAAGACTAATACATTTCCTTGAAAGCAACATATTTTAGGTAAAATTGTGAGATTCTTGAAAAAACTTTCTTTTGGTATCCGGACCAACTTAATTATTTCACAACATTATTGGGTAAAAATGAGGTTAAAGATTAATTTTAGCCCGTGGGCGAAACTATTTACATCTGATAGCTGTAAAAGTGTATAAAATATATATATATTTTTTGTATATAACATACAGAAATATATACATATCCAAAAAATATACAAATAATTGTACATTTTTCGTAAATTATTTTGAGAGCGGCTATACAGTATCATTTTTCTTTAAAATGACTACGAAGATTCTCACAGATAGATAGAAATCACCAAGCATTTTTTATCTTTGTTGGAATTTGAATCAAGTTTTCTATATTTTCATCCCCAAGGAGCTTGTGGAATTCTTGGACAATTGGACCATTCATTTACTCCTTCTCTTTTTAAATAAATAATAATGCAAGAAACTGCAGGCATGTGCAGATGAGTACACTTGCAGCTGCTCAGCTGCATCAACATGGCCTTGGAGCAGAAATTTCAAACTTGAGGGGACAAATTGAAACATCAAGGCCCATGGACAGTATAGAAAAATTAAATACTCCCTCTGTTTCAATTTAGACGATATACTTCCATTATTAGTCCATTCGATAAAGAATGATACATTTCTACAATTGAAACTAGTTTAATTTTAAATTCTTTATTTTTTCTATTTTATCCTTAATGAGAAGCTTTTCTAACCACACAAATGTCATGGCCCCACAAAGCTTTTACCCCTTAAGCTTTTAAGGATTCAAATTCGGAATTTCCAACCAAGATTACCAATTTTCCACCTTCCTAATGTACAATAAAATTAGTTAAGTCTTTACTAATTTGCCACCTTCCTGATATATAATATTCCTAAACTGTTGAGTACAATGAGGTTTCGGGTCTAAATTTCAGTGGTAGCAAAAACATTAGGTGGTTTCTTCTTATCTGTTCAAACTTTGGTGGATAGTGTTACTCGAATCTTGTGCAAATGGGAAGTCGTACATGGAATTAATCGAGGTGTATACAAACTAATCGGATACTATGGTTATAAAAAGAATACTCCTAAAATAAGAAAAGACATTTAATAATTTTTCTGTTGGTAGTAAAGCTAGAGGTTAGATGGTGTAAATAAGCAGATCCCCACAAGTCACTATCACTTTGATTATTGTAATAAAAATCTTGAGCAGTCAATGTTTACTTTTCTGGTATGGCTAAAGAAAAGTAGAAGATCAAGTACAAGGCTGCTTTGACTAGTGAGATGTGGGGTAGTTGAATTCCCTGAACCCAACATTATTAAAAAATCTAAAACTTAAATGTGAAATTATTAAAAAGCAGGCAATAGCATGCGGCCTTAAAATGCACAAAAAGTACTCTGTATATGTCCCATACCTGTCTTATAGCCTGTTTGGCCAAGATTTTAGCTTCTAAAATCTATTTATTTTGAAAAGTGTTTTTGTCAAAAGTACTTTTAAAAAAAGTGCTTTTGGTGAGAAGCAGTTTGTGTTTGGCTAATTAATTTGAAAAACACTTTTGAGCAGTAATTAGTGTTTGACCAAGCTTTTGAAAACTGCTTCTAAGTGTATTTTTCTCAAAAGTACTTTTCAGAAAAGTGCTTTTGGAGAGAAGCTACTTTTTTCTGCTTCTCAAAAACTGCTTCTGCTTCTCCTCAAAAGCACTTTTTTTCCTTCCAAAAGCTTGGCCAAACACCTTAATTTTTGGCTAAAAGTGCTTTTGGCCAAAAAAAAGCACTTTTGGCCAAAAAAAAAAGCTTGGCCAAACAGGCTATTAGGCTCCTGCATCTAAAGTCATTATACAAAAACAGTGCCAATATTGTCTTTTATGTATAAATCAGTATTTTAAAGTTTTAAGGGGAGCATTGGAACAACAGAGAAACGCTATGCGTTTTTACACGTGATGTATGTGATACCTATGATGGAAAACGGGAGGATAAAAATGAATCAAGATAAAAAAGGCTGATATGCTTCAATAAGGTTTCGCAAAAAAGGTAAACATGATACCTTAAGCAAATTCCGCATTAAAAAGGAAAAAAATAGAAAAGAAAAGTGCTATATAAAATAAGACACAAGTTCACATAATTCGCCTTCTTTATGAATTTGGTGTGAAGTAACTCAAAGGATAAATTTGTGAGATCCGTAAGATCAAAACGAATGACACTATTACGGGTCATGAGAGGGGACCCATGTGCATGGGTGAAGGGTCACGAATCCCGTAAACTTCGGCCGAAATTCTCTATATATATACTTTAAAAATAGTTGATTTAAAGCAGTTGGCACCCTAAACACTAAAAGCCTTTAGGGTAGGGGGCATTTGTTGACGAGAATAATGTGCCCGTCGCGTAAAAATTCGGAGTCTGCCTCTAATGACAAATAAACAAAGTTTTAATCCTTGACCAATCTCTTAACGAGAGAAGTATTGTAAAATTTTCTTTATAATGTATTTAAATCTTTAACATTTATAATTGTAGATAAAGTTTTGGGTGGAGTAGTAGTAAAGTCTTGTCTCTGTCAAGAAAGAGTCATACCCCTAATCTAACTGTCCCATGTTATAAATAGCAGGGAGCTTTTTAGGTTTCTAGTAACCCCACAACTAAAAACTTCTGTATTAATTAAAATTTCTTTGACTCAATTAGCATTTTCTGCCGTACAACACTTCAACAGTTCTACATTCCTTCCCAAAATAGACCTCAATCTTTTCAAATTTCAAATAAAAATTACTACTAGTATGTATTTATTTTGGGCAATAACCAGTGTGTTTCTTTGCAAGAACATGAATGAGTATTCGAAACAAGTAAAATAAGTAAAAAGATAAAAATCTGCAAATTTTCAATTTCAATAACTCAAACAAAAATGTCTTAGTAAAAAAAAAAATACTAGTATAGTTCTTTCTTTTAAAAAAGTAGAAAAAGGTCCAGATTTTTATAACTCCCAATTGTTTTAGCATCCCAAGAATAAGTGGGAACATAAGGCAAATTTTCAGCAAAAGGTACTACCAAAAAGCATAAATAAATTTGAATAAACCAACAAAATATACTTAAAAACTTAAAATTATGTAACACTAAAGTGTATGGTCTAAGTCAATAAAAGAAAAACTATGAAAAATCATGATCCAAATTATTACACATATAAATAAAGTAATTTGAAAGGGACATTGGAACAAAGGTAAAGTTGTCTCCGTCCGTGTGGCTTCTGTTGCGGGTCGAGCCGTAGAAGCCCCTAATAATGCTTATATTATCGTAGGTTCTCTATATCATACCTTCGAGTTGCGACTTATTTTCGGATCCTGCATCAGTGCGAGATGATTTGTGCACCGGAATCGCCCTTTATAAAAAGAAGTAATGTGTTTTTTCTCATCTATCTAAATCTTACGTAGACGAGTTATGCTGGGAGACGGTAAATAAAAGAGAAGTCCGGTGCACTAAACTCCCACTATACGGAAGTTTCGAGGAAGGGTCGGAACATAAGGGTCTACTGTATGCAGCATTACCCTGCATTTCTGCAAGGTTGTTTTTACGGCTCAAACATGTGACCTCCTAGTCACTAGGTCACATGACAACAACTTTACGAGTACACCAAGACTCTACTTCCCTAAGAGAAACATAAATATCTAATAAAATGGGTAATGCGCGTACAAATTGACATAGATATCAAAATTATTTTTAAAAAATGACTAAAATAGTTGTAGATTTACCTGGAGTGAAATTATCAGTAGCTTTAGCAAGTTCATCAAAGCTAAAATTCCTCCAAGAAGGCTTAGGCACAACAAAATCATGACAATCAATTCTATCTTCTTCTGCACTTCGAATTCTAGCCAGTAATTTCCTCTTAATATTTTTCTTTGGTAGTAAATTTTCATATCCTCCAAATAATTGTATAGTCGATAATCTTCTTATAGACTTTTTCTTCATTTGATCAAAAAAATTCTTAAAACTCAATCCTTGCTCCGCCTCCTCTCCGCCTCCACCTCCGCCATCTCCGCCGCCGGAAACTGCCGTTTTCTCGCCGCCGGGAGACGGAGATGACCCGAAACTACTGCTCCTTTCCCCGCTGCTAATGCTGCTGTTGTCGGAATCCGATGTACCTGAAATATGAATTTCCAAAACTGCCCTTGGTGATGACTGATCGTCTTTGGTTTTTTTGTCCTTTTCTCCATTTTCTTCTTTACCCTCCAAGATTTCTATTTCTACTTTTACTTCTACTTCTTCTTGTTCCTTTTCTGCTTCTTGTCTCTTCATTTCTTCTTTTTCTCCATTTTCTTGAACTTGTACAACACTTTCACCTACAAAAATTCATATTATAGAAAAAAATCAATTTTCCTCCCATTTTTTTGCTCTACATGACGGATGCTAGTATACGTGAAAAACTACTAAAATTTCAACAAATATTATATTCTGAACCTATAATTGTAAACGTATAATGAGTTGAGCGACGTAAACATAAAAACAGAAAGGCAGAACCCATAATGTTTAAATTCTGAATCGACCTTTGTTTATATGCGCAAAAGGCTCAAAATTTAGAAAAGGGTTTAATATAAATACTCATAAAAAGGAGGAAAAAAAAAGAAAAAAAGGGAAAGGAAAGAACCTTCCATGGTATATTTGGAGATGTTGTGTTAAACACAAAATGAATAAATTTGAAGAATTTGCTATGAAGCAAATGAAAAGGAATTTAGAAGAATTAGAACATATTCTATGAAGGTTTACATTTGAGGTTCAATCATAATTCATAATTCTTCTCCCCTAAGAAGAAGAAGAGAAAATGGTATATCTTAAAGAAGTTGTTATTCTTATTTGAAGAAAAGAGAGGTAGAAGAAGAAACAGAGGAGAGAAAACCGGCTATGTTGTACTTGGAATAATATTATGTGTGCTTACATTTATTTATACGCTAATGAAATGCAAATACTATAATTAATGTATAATTATAAAATTTGTGGGGCATGAAATCTTAGCCGTTCGATTTCGACATAATTGGTTTGTTTTGTGTTTGATGAAATCTTAGCCGTTGGAGTTGGACATTCTTGATTTTTGGCGCAACTAACGCTATGTGTATTGTCGGGGAAAAAATCAAATAACGAACCCAACTAACTTTGATGTAAATTTTAGAGAGTTTGAAGGGTATTTTAGGTAGAAATGTTTTTGAATGGTGGAGTACGTATATTATTCTTTGTTAAATTTTTAAAAGATTATGTGTTTGTGTACTGTATAATTATATTTATATCAGGTTAAGTTGCTTAAACAAAGGTGGATGCAGAGACGGAGTTAGGATTTTAAGTTTATGGGTATGAGATCCTAATCGTTTTAATCTACTAGATTCTAAAATTAATAATTTACAGTATATATTTAATAATTTTTTAAGGCAAATACAGAGTTCGGACCAAAACTACTTTGTTCAGCCGAATCCGTTTCTGACACTCTAGCTCCGCCCCTAGGTGAATGTGCAGTGCATGTCATCTGAATCTAATAGTTTTAGGTTATGTGTATTAAAAAGTTCACCAAATAAGTATAAATTATTGGTGTCGACTTTCGAACGCCGTAAATCAAAGGAGTTGTGGTAGAATCTCAAATTCGCACACGTGAAGTTCAAATTCTGAATAGGTCACTCATACTAAATTATTTATAACAAACTTGATCTCATTACTTAAGATAGATAAATTATTTAATATAACAGATTAAACTATATTGATAGTGTAACAAATTTTATATTGTTTAAATGTGTAAATTTAAACCAAATTTAAAATTAGGTCTTACAACTTTGAAAACAAATCTCGAGAAATGTCAAAATAAGTCAACATCTTCGGTAGTAGTAATCTTACTTTTGTATCTCCATAGGTATGTTGGGACAACATCATAGGGATATCAAAGAGATATTGTCTCCTTGTGAATATTTCCAATGAATTGCTAATTTTCTAGTAATAAAATTGAGCAAAGTATTGGTACATGAACGAGATTAATTAAGATAAAAAGTTTTCGTTTCTTAATGGGATTTCTAAAACTATGAATCTCGTGTACATTGCATTTAGCTCGTAGGATTAATTAAGACCATGCACATTCATATGAAACTAAATGTGATACGCTTCTAACTTAACTACATAACAATTCAGCAGTTTAGAACATGAAACAAATGTGTTTATACATAATATAGATACATGGGCGGAGCCGAAGGGTATAGTAATTGTGGTGTACATAGGTCGGATTGGTTCGGATTTTCTAATTATCAAATCAAATCAATTCTATGGGTTATTAAAATCTAAAGACCAAATCAAATCAATAAAAGTTGGGTTTTTCAATCTCGATTTTTCTCGGGTTTTCTTATTTTTCGGGTTTTTTTTTCCATAAAGTCTTCATAGCACAAAGTATAGAATTTGTGCTCCAAATATTTCTTTAATCCTAGTAAGATAGAACTGTATAAGGTATTTTTCAATAAAATAACATAAATATGGGATGAGTCGTGGCACTGTACTAAAATATTCAACAATAAAGATGATAAAATCGCATAAAATAAGTATTATTAATAAGCCATAATGAAAACAAACATAATTTAAATTACTAATAAGTTGCTAAAATAAGTACGACTAATAAGTACCATTATTTACATGATTAAATACTAAAAGAAAAATAAGTTATACATTTTATCTAAACCACGGAAAAACTAAAAAATGGATATTCAATACTATTTTCATTCATAGAACAATTGAATTGAATGTCTTTTATTAACATTAGTATTGATTTGATATTGGTTTAGGAATTATTTGAGTTACTAACATTTATGAACTATAAAATTTATTGGAGCATCCAAAAATTATAAGTCCAAGCTTGAAATAATACGTGAAAAGATAAAACTATGAAAAAGTTTAAGAAATACTTATAAACTACACTACAATAAATGTTTTTATGTATTAAATATATTTAAAACTTCTATACATATAATGTTGGGTTGGGTTGGTTTCGGTTTGACTTTTTTTAGTTAAAACCAAACCAAACCAAACCAAATATGGTCGGATTTTTTTTTCCAACACCAAACCATAGTCAGGATTTTTTTTTTTCTCGGTTTGACTCGGATTATCGGGTTGGTGCGATTTCTCGATTTCATTTGTACACCCCTAGGTGTAGAACCTCTTTCCTCGATATATATATATATATATATACAAGATTAAAATTAATTTTTAAATGTATATACAATAACAACAACAATCCAGTAAAATTCTACAAGTGGAGTCTGAAAATGGTAGAGTATACACAGACTTTACCTCTACCCCGAGGATAGAGAAGTTGATTCTGATAGACCCTCGGCTCTAGAAGACGAAAAGAGATAATATATCAGTATTATCAACAGAAACCATAAAAATAATAACAACATCATAAGGACCAGAAAATAGATGAAAAATAATAACAATAACAAGTAAATAAGGCTGGTACTATAAAAAACGGAAAAATAATGTGGACCCAATATCAACCGCTAGTGGTCTAAGACACAACATTACTTTTTATATGTATATAATGATGTTGAATTCCATTGGCTATTTCATGTGCTTACTTTTAAAGATGCAAAATTTGTAAATAGAAGCAATTTAAAGTAAAATAGAAGCTATCTGTAAAAAGGGAAAAAGAAGAAGAATAATTCATGTTATAAACAAATTTTATATGTTCATTCTGGTAGTTGTACCACATTAATGATAAAACCACTCATACTGTGAACTAGCATTAATTTAACAATCTCTTCCAAGCTAAGATCTCGTTTAAAGCAACTATGCATAAATAATAATTTTTCACATAGACAATCTCAAAGTGAAGGGATGAGGAGTGTTAATTAAGTTAGTAGTTAATTACCTAATTTAAATATTTTGATAGTGTAAAAGAATATTTTTATAGTCAGTGTATATGACTTAATCTATCTAGAGTTTATCTAAATATTAATCATTAACGGAATTGACTCAATGATACACAGATACAGTCATAATCAATATAATTGGATGTTCTTGACTGCGTACTTATTTGGTAATTAAGACCCTAATCTTGAACATACTCTTGTTTGGATTCTTGAAAACAAAACGTAACCAAGTCAACCTTATTGTGTATAATTTTGTTTCGAACACTGACGTTTTTAACTTTTTTGTTGATTTTTTTTCCTTCTAGTTTAAGTGCCTTTCCGTTCAACTATTCCTATTTCTACATTCTGTTTGGATTAAGTCAAAAGAAAACAAAAGTAGATTGTACATTTTAGTAAGTGTCATCTATGATTTTATGGGGAAAAAAAATCCTTTTTGATGTGGAAATGCAGCAGCCCAATTCCTCGTGCAAGTAGAAATAAAAATGTGCCACTACGATGCCCATTAGTCTTTAAGAGGTAACACCATTTAAAAGAAATTAAAATTTTCTTATTTTACTAATGTATTTCTGTAACAACCCGGCCGGTCGTTTTGAGAATTTACACCCCGATCCCCTATTAACTGCTTTTCCGTATCTATTTTCTGCTATTGTGATTTGCCGGGATGATTCGTTTTGAGTTTCGGAGTATTTTGGGACACTTAATCCCTAAATGAGAGCTTAAGTCTTAGATTTTGGATCGTAGTCGGAACTATGTGAAGACGACTCCGGAATAGAATTCTATCGATTCCGTTAGCTCCGTTGGGTGATTTTGGGCTCAGGGGTGTGTCCGGATTGTGTTTTTGAGGTCCGTAGCTCATTTAGGTTTGAAATGGCGAAAGTTAAATTTTTTGAGTTTCGGGCTGATAGTGGAATTTTTGATATCGGGGTCGGAATCCGATTCCGAAAATTGGAGTAGGTCCATAGTGTTGAATATGACTTGTGTGCAAAATTTGGGGTCAATCGGACATGGTTTGGTTAGTTTCGGCATTGGTTGTAGAATTTTAAAGTTTGGTTTGGAGGGGGATTCGTGATTTTAGCGTTGTTTGATGCGATATGAGGGCTCGACTAAGTTCGTATGGCATTTTAGGATTGGTTGGTATCTTTGGTTGAGGTCTCGGAGGCCTCGGGTGAGTTTCGGGTGCTTAACGAATTGGTTTGAGACTTATGCAAATGGCTGAAGTTGTTGCACCTGGTATTTTTGCACCTGCTTGGACCGCAGGTGCGGAGCCGCAGATGCAGATTTAGGCCTTGTCAGCTGGGATCGCAGGTGCGGTTGGGGACCGCAGGAGCGGGCTCGAAGATGCGGCCCAGTGTTCGCAGATTCGGCTCTAGCCCAGTTAAGTGAATTTCGCACCTGCGATGGTTCTTCCGCAGGTGCGGGACCGCAGAAGCGTGAATCGCTGGGCAGAAAAGGGGATTTCGAGGGTTTGAAATTTCATATCACAAAATTCAATTTGGAGCTCGGTGGAAGGCGATTTTTCGAGGGATTTTGAAGGAGAGCTATTGGGTAACTAATCGTAACTCGCTTTTGATCATATTACATTAATCTCTCGTTGTATTCTTCATCTAATTAAGGAATTTGAGGGTGGAAGTTTGGAAAATGGGGAAAAAGTTCCCCAATCAAAACTCTAAGGTTTGAGTGGGAATTAGGCGTTGGTTTTGGATGATTTTTGTATGAGTGAACTCGTGAGTGAATGGTTGTTCATAATTTATGACTTTTACCCGATTCCGAGGCGTGGGCCCGGGGAGGATTTTTGGGTGTTTTCCTATTTTTCTGCCTTAGCTTTGAATTCATTAGCTAAATTAGTTGCTTATAGCTAAATTTACGTTATGTAATTGATTTGATTAGATTTGGGCTACTCGGAGTTGGATACTCGTGGCAAGAGCGTGATTTCGGATTGATTTGAGCTTGGTTCGAGGTAAGTGGCTTGCTTAACCTTGTGTGGGGGAAACTCCCCTTAGGATTTGGTAATGTTTG